GAAATGCTGTTAATTGTAAAATAGGCTATAATTGCAATTACATGCAATTTAGCTTTTAAATATCAAATAAATTTGTAAAAATATGCAAGAAATCACCTTAATTATATTTTGGTGTAACNCGTCCACGGGCAAAATTGGCTCTCCCTCAGTCGCTCATCAGCTCCTTTAAACATCCTTGGTGAAGCATGTTCATTACTTCTTGTCGTAGGGCTATGCAATTCTCGGTATTGTGGCCTCATTCTTGATAGAACTCGGAGAGGGAATTCAACTTTCTAGCATTTGGGTCTTAGTTCATATTTTGTGGCCATTTCACCTTAGGACCGAGCTTCTCTAGGGCGTAAACTATTTCTGAAGGAGAGACACAAACACTGTGAGCAGATAAAAGTGGAGGCATACCTCTTTCGTTTCGGTGAGTCCCTGTCTGTGGTTTGGAAGCCCCTTCGGCTTGGAGGGGAGGCAGTAGGATGGTCGCTCTGATGTACGGTTGGTGCCTTTCCCGATTGAGGCGTGGACCTGCGTGATCTCTTCGGCTGTCATTCCGATGATCTTTCCTTGATTCTATTTGGATTGTCGTTAACCGTTGAGTTAGACCATTGAGGTTGTCTTTGTCTGCTCTCACCTCGGCATAGTAAGCGTTGTGAATTTCTTCCCAGGTGGTGGGAAGGTATTTCATGAGTCTGCTTAATAATTTTTTGGTCGCCCCCAACCCGTTTATGTTTAACCAGTTTTGAAAGCCCACTACCGCAATCCCTTCTGACACGTTTGGAAGACTCATTCTTACTCTCTTGAACCGGTCGAGGAAGTCCCTGAGTCCTTCGTCAGGCGATTGTTTGATGGCGAATATGTCATTCACTATGGCTTCTGCTTTCTTGGCCCCGATATGGGCACTGATGAATTTGTCGGCCATTTCCTCGAACATTATTATGGAATGTACTGGTAATTATGAGTACCATATTAAGGCTCCCCCTGTTAGGGTTTCGCCGAACTTCTTCAGCAGCACCGACGGTACCTGCTCTTTTGAGAGGTCATTGCCTTTACCACCGTGACGTAATGAATGATATGGTCTTCAGGATCCATTGTACCGTCGTATATTTTAAAATATGGTGGAATTTTGAAGGTTTTGAGTATGGCATATGGGGCTGCCTCCTCGCTGTATAGTTGTTCCACGAACCGACCAATGTCCCGTTTTGGCAGAAATTTCGGGGCGCCTGGTATTTTATCAACCCTTTCTTGGTGCTCCCTCATTTGGTCGCGGAGTGCTTTATTCTCATTCTACATTTCTTTCATTTTCCTCAGAATAGCTGTGAGGTCATCGTTACCTGCATTAACAACGATGTAAGTGTTACCTGTTGGGGGAGGAGCGTGTTGCTCGTTGATAGTTGTTAGGGTGTCAACTCGTACGGTGTTCCTACTCGCCCCTTGAGCGGGTTTTTCGAGTATATTGTTTAGGGTACTTGTCAACCATGCCTCCAATAACGTTTTCACTACGGGCGACGCTTCCTCCATCATGGACGTGGAGGCTCCCTTCTCATGTGAAACGGTTACACTCCATGAGGAAGAGGTGAGTCACTTTGCCTGGGTGAGGCGCTCGGTGTCACATTCTCCTCGTCTTCCATGTCTACCTCATTGATGGTGCCTAGGAGGTTAGTAGTGACACCCATCACTGCTTTCAGTCTTTCCTCTCCTTTTTTCTGCCATTGTTAGCTTGTGCAAACATGAAAAAGGAAGATTTTGTTGTTTTTTAGATCTAGAAGAAACTAAACTTTTTAACTAGGAAGTCCCCACAGATGGTGCCAAATTGTTTGAACAAAACTTTTTAGGCCCTTTTTGTTAAACCAATTTAATAAGTAGATAATGGTGAATCCTAGTTAAATATAATAAATCCTAGATCTAAAGTTCGATAATTTTGATGGTAAGGGACTGTGTTCAAGTCAATGAATGCCAAGTTGATGCTCAATAATTATCAATAAATATGAGAATGAAAACATGCAATAAATGTGACAAATGACATTAAATGTAATAAGAAGGAATTTGTCACCCAAATGTTGAATGAGTTAGATGATTCCTTCTTCTGACTATAGCGTGTGACAACAGACTATGGAAATGAACAACGTGTTCTTGGATCTTGTGAATAAAAGAGGAATGTTTAGTAATGGAATCAAACAGATGAGACAAGATAAGCTTTTTGTATATTCTTGATTATCAACCCTTTACAAGATGTTCTTATCAGAAAAGTCCAGAAGCCCCTCTTTTGTTCCCTATCTCTTCCTATTTATAAGGGATATTCCAGAAAACCTTTAAAAAGTACAATTGGGGGAATATTCAATGGAATATTCCTATTCATAATCCTAAGAATATTCTAACCGTTGTTGATGTTTGTTCTCTACTCCACTTTGGTACTGGTCTCTCTCTTTGGGCAGCTTCTCGCCACTGGCCCGTGCTTGGCTTCGACCTCAGCCTCAACTCGTCCGTTTGCATTCACTAAACTCGACCTAATTTTGACCCATACAATTTTATTGCAGTAATTGCATGACGCAATCTAAGTTCTTGACAGTAACTAATTGATACGAGCACAAAATATAAAGGATATTTTTCTTACTTCTATTCATCATGTTCTACTAGTCAATTGTATTTTAATCTTTATACAACATAAAAAAGCTGCATTTTTAAAGCACAAGAAATGCGTTCAGGATATTTTTTTTATAAAGTTTGAACTATGAAGTTCACACCTTAAGCCCCCATTTAGACATAATTTTTTTCTATTCTTTTACCAAAAAATTAAAAATATTATTTGTTCATAGAATTTTATCAGTTTTTGAAACAAAATTGGAAAAAAGAAAATTCAAGTTCCAAAAATTGGTGTTTGGATCAGTTTTTGGATGAAAATTTTTCTTTCACTCACAAAACTTTCAATATCTTTTCAAATAAAATTTATGGCTAAACACAATTATAACTTCCAAAAACTAATTTTCAATACAACTTTAAAAATCTTTTTTTTTTCAAATTTCAACTAAATTAAGAGGGTGTTTGGCTAAGCTTATACGCTGGTCAAACTGGCTTATAAGCACCTTTTGGTTTATTTACGCGTTTGGTAAACACCAAAAATAAAATAAGATAAAATCAGCCATAAGTCATAAGCTGATCACCCCAACTTATGACTTTTCAGCTTATAAGCACTTTTGGTTTGACCAACACTTTTACTAGTTTATCCTTAATAATATTTTCTAATTTATAAAATATTCTTCCCAAAATAAATTCTTGACTTTCTCTTCATTCCATATTCGACGTTAATTCTTCTCTTTACAAAGAAAATTTTAATTTATAATTTTTTGGAAAAATTTCTAGGGTATTTTAGTCATTTTAACAAAAGAATAGCTTATCAGCACTTTTTAATCAAACACATCAACTGCTTATTATTAGTTTCAACACTTCTATCCAAACACATAAATGCTTATTTTCAAATTAGTTTCAATACTTAAAAAAACCTTTCAGCACTTCAAGCTTATAAGCTATTTACAATGAGCTAATCCAAACGGGCTCTAACGCTAGCCAAGAAGAGTAAAAATTGCACGGGGCGCCCTATTTGGTTGCCCCCATTTAACCTATACCCATTTTTTTAAAACGTTTTAACTTGTACCCTTTTTCTAAACAACTTCAGCTCCCCTTTCTCCTCCTCTTTCTTCTCCTTCGTTTTCTTTATCTTCTTTCTTTTTTTAAACAACTTCGTTTTCTATTAGTAAAAAAGGGTGGACTGTGTTATTAAACGGAACAGGTTTGTTTTCCTCAATTCTGGTTGAAATTTTGTCAAGAAAAGAATGCAGTATCTTTTAATGTCCTTGTTACGATAGGTTTTGTGGTTATATTATGGCTGACGGTGACACTAATTAAGCTCTGTGTATTGTAAAATTACTGCAACTTGATTTGCTCCAAGTCATTTTTTTTTCTGTAGATTTGATGGTAATAGTTGGAAGCTCGGCTGTTTTAACATTGAAATGTTAAAACATTTGCCTGTTATTTTTCAAGATCCTTTTCTTGTCTATTAGCCTATGTTCTCCCTCAAATATTGCAGACTGGAAACTAATCGCCATGATGAAATCTGTTCGGCTTTGTTTCCTATTTTTCATGTGTGAGACAAGAGCAAATAAGAAAAACTTGCTGAAGTTTGCCAGTTACAAAAATAAAAACTTGCTACTTCAATCCCGTCTACTAGAATGCTGAAGTTTTGCGTAATTGCCTTTGCTACTTCAGCCCCGTATGCTGAAGTTACGCGAAAAAATGGGTATGCTTGCAATTATTTTTGTAAAGCGAGCACAATTTAAAACGTGACCTAAAAAGTGGGTATAAAAACAAATGCCCCCAAGAAGAAGCATAGAAGGAGAAGAGGAGGGTCTCTTAGGCTTTTAAGTTGTGGTTATGTTTTAAATACTTTACCAATATTGGCTATGTATTAAACAACAGCCTAGAAGTGACTTTCTCCCCGTAATATCGTAAAAATAGCATGATATAGCCAGTTTTCGGACTGGTCATTAAAAAATAGCCAGCGTTTACGAAGTCAATGAAAAATAGTCACTATTTTGCTGCAACATAGACCGGTGCAGCATAATATACTGGAGTTTGGTGCACCTGTGTATGAACTCCAGCATATTATGCTGGACTGATATACTTTGCTGACTCTAGTATAATATACTGGACAATTATACTTGCTGGAACTCCAACATACTTATGCTGGAGTTCTAGTGTACTTATGCTGGAGTTCCAACATACTTATCCTGGAACTCCATTATAATATGCTGGAGTTCAAACATACTTATGCTGGAACTCCAGTATAATATACTGGCGTATTTTTCGGGTTTTGAACAGTATTTTCGCTCAAATTTATCTTTACATGAAAAGTGGTTAAATTTCTATTACTTTTGAATTTGAGCTATTTTTGGACGACAAGTTGTTAATATGACTATTTTTGAATTTCTCCAAATAAGATTAAAAGAAACCCGTTTTGTTATCCACTTAGCCAGTTAGCCCCTCCAATTTTAGAAGAAAAGCTTCTGCTCGTTCGTGACGAATTCTTGGTTGGTGTGATGATGGCAGATTGAGAATTAAAATTGCGAAAAAAAGGGGAATATATTAGAAGCTTCAATGGACGACGGTGTCGTCTACTTGCTGGTGTTAGTGTAACTGGTTACAAAGCAATACTATTATTTCTAAATTTTGCTGCACGGTTGAATTTCTACTGACTTTCCGCTTGCACATTACCTTAATTAGCAGAGACGACAAAATTTCGTGGAAGAAATCGATTAATCGTGCAGTATTCTTGTATTAATATCTGAATTTAACATGGGTTTTGCGGCATGTGATGTCTTTTCTTATTCCACTCAAACATCTCCATTAAGCAATACTATTAGAAGAATCCATCAGTACCCTTTAAATGGTGCTTTTTCATTGCAAAAAGTTACCATTTTTGGGTACCGTGAATTGGGTTTTAAGCCATTATTAGCTGTGAGTAATGTAGCAGTTGAGAATGGTAGTGCTGAAAACCAAGCTAATGATAAACCCAGGTATAGGTGGGTTAAGATTGGCTCTGATATTACTGAGGAACAGAAACAAGCTATTTTGAAGTTTCCACCAAAGATGCCAAATAGATGTAAGGCATTAATGCAACAGATCATTTGCTATTCACCTGAAAAGGGTAGTGTGTCACTCTTGTTAGAGGCTTGGGTGAAGAGTATGAAGCCCGAGAGAGCTGATTGGCTTGAGGTACTTAAAGAATTGGACAGGCTGAATCATCCCTTGTATTTTGAGGTAATTTCAGTTTCTTCCTCTACAACATAGTTCTTGATTTCACCAAAGTCTTGCTTGCTGCTGACTTATGTTCATATTCATTGAGTTTGTCACTTAAAGTTTGCTGTATTAGTATTCTCTGTACTCAATCCTCTATCTATTGTGGAAGATTGTTAATTACAACCATTACTTTTCTACTTTTTGAAGTTAAAGATCCTTTTTTGGGTTGAAGACTTCAATCTATTCCCATGACTTGTCTGTCCTTTACTTTACTTCTGGAGTTTAGTTGGAGGTCTCACTATTTCAGCACTAAAGGTTTGTAGTAATGGCTCGGAGTAGTACTGCGATCGCTTTGCATTGGATAAACTTTTGTCCTATAAGAATTTGACACCATTTCTTGTCAAATAGTGTGTGTTTCTTCTTCATAAGCTTGTGAATCATAGACAATCTCCTAAATAGCTGGTATCCTTGCACTAGTTTTAATGTTAACTAAGAAGGAATCGGGAAGCTAGATTCAAATTGGACGAAGTTGTTATCTTTGTCAATCATCATCCATTGGATAGTAGATTAGAGTTTTTATTCACCTATCCATTAGATAATTGAAGTTAGGAGTTGCATAATGACCTACTAAGACTTGAATAACTATATATGTTTTCTATGGCGTCTGTGGTCTTTTCTATAATGTTGTTATGTTGAGAGGTTGTTTTCTTCAACTGATCTTTAAACAGAGAGGCAATGGCTTAGATATCTTCCCTGAGGTGATAAGGTGTATGTTCGACTTCTGTCTTTTTCTGCATAGAAGGTTGCCTCATTGTTTTTTAGGATTAAAACCAAAAACTGCTCTTCTGTGTTCTCACAAAGCTCAATTGACTTTGTTCCCTGTCTACCAGAAACGCTTGATGATTTCCACTCCTTACTTTACAGTTCACGCTAATATATAAGTACTAATATTTCTGAGCTGATGCAGCATATTACAAACTAGCTAATTACTTTTAACATAATCAAACTAATGTTTCAAACAATTTGTCTAAATATAGACAATCTATTATAACTTTTTTACTCTTAATCTCTGTGATAGGTCATGTTTTTTTTTTGTGCTGGAGAGCAATTGTCTTCCATCACCACCCTATTTCTTTCTCCAGTTGCCATTAACATTACTGTGAGATGACAGGGCATCTTTCTATAATTTTCATATAGATGTGCTACAGTGCTGGTACTTTTAACTCTGGCATAACCTTACTGGTTTGTGGTAAAACACTTGATGCAGTGACTTATTTGTTCTCATAAAAGCTTGCTCCCCTCTCCCTAGGAGATGAGGGCAACTGGCACATGTCAAAGATCGTAGTTACAGCTAACTAGCCTTCCAGCAATTTCAATCAACTATGCCTCAATCTCAAATTTCTTGTAGTTGGCTACATGAATAATTTGTATCCATTCCGCTCTATTCAAGTCTATTTCATTCCAATACTAAATTATTTGTCTTTCAAGGCAAATTAGAGATTATCTAAAACTAGGGTTCTTAAAATTTCATACTTATCTACCTATCCAAAAAATTACTAAAGGAATTCATACTTATCCCTGTACAGGCATATAAGTCTTACTTGATTAAATGATATAATTTTATTACTGCTGTCTAAAGCCTCAGCTACTGGTTATTTGAGTTGCTTTGTTTCCTTTTTGTTGTAGTGTATATTTGTCCATTTCTTACTGCAAGTTGCTGGTTTATTTTGTAACTGAACATGCAGAATTCCGACTTCGTTAGTAATCCTAAGAGTTCCATGACAGCATATACTCGAACAACTTCATTAATTTAAACCTAGGGAGAGGGTGGAGGTTTTATTGTAGGGGGCGAGGGCACAGACCAGCAATTTAAGAGCTTAGCTTATTTCGAAACTATAGGGAGGAAAACTGCACTTTGAAGTATGTGTAAATGCATCACGCCAGATACTTGCCGTGTCATTATTTGGAATCCCTTTCAATCAGGAAACTATAGGATCATTAGAATACCATGAAGATCTTCTAATTCATTATTAGTCCATGAATATAGAATATTTTAACATAACTTTTCTTAAGTGGTAATATATAGATTAATCTGTATCTTTGTGTGTGCCTAAGGGATTGCTACCTTAACTGGTTTATGGTAAGCCTTCCCACGCGGTTGAGTTATTTGAAGCCAGTGTTTGACTTATACCTAGAAAATTCATGGGTATGAAAAGCTCAAGCCTTTCTATTTTCCTTTTCAGAGGGTCGCAATTCCAATCTTCCAAATCCATAAGGTGACTAATATTTAATCTATGGGTTGTTCTCTAGTATTAGTATTCTCCTAAAGAGCATTTGATTCTTCTATTCCATTGTGTCATTTATCTATAAAGAGTTATCCATCTCCTTTTCAATATTAGACCTTTCAAGTGTATTAATTTCTGACCACTCTAGCCCCAAAATTGTTGGAATTTTCCATAGAGCCTCACTATCGATCAGTTATTGAATCACAATTTGGTTAAGAACAAGTGAAGACACATGCTTCTCTTGATCCTAGTTGAAAGGAAAGATAGGAATCAGAAACAGGGCCACAGTTATTGTGAATTTTCTTTTAGTGAACTATGTGCTTACTAATCTGTTCACCAAACTATGAATTTTGTTTTTTGAATGAAGACCGAGGAATTCAGTCAACTTATTAGTTCCTTTGGTGCACTTTCTGTATCTCAGGTAGCTGAAGTGTCCCTCTTAGAAGAATCATTTGAAGCCAATGTTCGTGATTACACCAAGATAATTCATGGCCATGCAAAGCAGGATCGGCCGAGAGAAGCTGAAAGTATGCTCTTAGCCATGAAGACTAGAGGCTTCACATGTGATCAGGTGGTTCTCACGGCTTTAGTTCACATGTATAGCAAGGCTGGTAACCTTAAGATGGCTGAAGATACTTTTGAAGAGATGAGGTTGCTTGGAGTAACATTAGATAAGAGATCCTACGGGTCAATGATCATGGCGTACGTCAGAGCTGGAATGCTTGGCGAGGGAGAGGCTTTACTAAAGGAAATGGAAGAACAAGAGATCTATGCTGGAAGAGAAGTTTATAAAGCAATTCTTAGAGCCTATTCGATGATTGGTGATAGCAAAGGAGCTCAAAGGGTCTTTGATGCTCTTCAGTTGGCAGGAATAATCCCTGATGCGACCTTCTGTGGGCTGCTGATGAATGCCTATGTTGTGGCTGGTCAATNTTGTGGCTGGTCAACTGAGCGAGGCTTGTATTGCGTTTGAAAATTTGAGAAGAGCTGGCATAGAACCTAATGACAAGTGTATCGCACTGCTGTTGTCAGCTTATGAAACCGAAAACAACCTGGGCAAGGCACTTGATGTTTTGATGAATTTGGAGAGGGATGGTATTGTGCTTGGTAGAGAAGCTTCAGAAATATTGGCTCGTTGGTTCAAGAAACTTGGGGTAGTTGGAGAAGTGGAGCTTGTGTTGAGAGAATTTATGCATCAAACTTAGTGAATTAAGAATACTGATGCTTTGAAGTTTCTCTCCGTTGCATCTGTTTGAGAACCAGTCTTGGTCTCCTATCTACAGGTATGTAAACTTTTTTCGCTTAAGAAACTTTGTCTGCTAAATCTGTCTTCAGTCACTCCAGCCCATCCCTGTCTCCCAATAAGAAAAATGGGCTAGAAAAACAAAGAAAACCGGAAACACAAGCTTGCTTTTTTCATTCTGACTTGGTGAATATACTCCTAAATAGCACAAGATAATCTCGTGGACAACTCATATGTCAAGCTTTTCGAGCCTAGTGGTTTAGTTTAAAGTTTTGGCTTTGGTTCAGGTATCTTCACACTTTGCTGTAAGTCGATACAACATACTGCCCAGGAAAGTATCACAAGTTACAGCTGTTTGCATCAACAAAACAAGCAGAGAGTATGTTTTTCATATTTCTGGTAAGAGGTTGAGGGCAATAAGCAGCTTTTCATGTATGTAAACAACTCTCAAATACTGGAATCTGTCTCCTGAGTCTTTCGGCAACAGGAGCAACAGTACGGTTGGCTGAAACAACGGTGTACATATAGGTCATGGCTTTGTCCCAAGTGTTGGTTGATCATCTTCTTTCAGCTTCAGTGTTTAGTCATGTGAAACCTTTCCTTGAGTTGGTTCATCCTGAGTTGTAACCCTTATTTTTGTTGAACCTAAGCCATTGACAAAAATCCAAGTGTTTGATTAGAGAAACAAGATTAAGAAAAGTATGTGTACTTCAGATCTGGAAACATACAACGAATGCCAAAATCTGCCATTTTGATTACTTCTTACTGCATACTTGAGGACTGGACGAGATTTTGATTATGACAACTACACTCTATCTCGCATAAATTGATTGTTGTTTAGTTCGATAAGTACAATTTCCACAAATTGTTATATTGGACGCACTCGACTATATAGAGTTATAGACTAGACAAAACGGCAAAAAGATACTGTGTAAATTAAAGCAATGTGAGAATATGTATTCCCTGTTTGATTTTTATGCGCCAATAAATGGTTTAGGAAATAGTTGATGCTAATTTAAATTTATAAAGTGTGCATACATGTGATTTTTAGTTTTAACTCGTGTGTATATACTAGTATCTATATACATTTATTTATATAAAGGAACAATAAAATTTAATTAATTAGAGAAATTTTATGTATGATAATACAACAATCATCTAAATGACGATCAAACGGTTCATTAATATCAATATATCTCTAGAACTCCGGGCATTTATTTCGATCGCTTGACACTTAGCCATAAGTGCTGTCACACCTCCTTTTTACTACACCCGAGGGGATATATAGGGAGTTTTTCCAATTAAAGTGACATTATTCGAAATTGAATTATTTATTTATTTTTATTCAGAGTCGCCACTTGGGATGCTTTGTTTTCTGGTGTCCCAAGTCACCAGTTTATTTTACAATCCCAAATCGAGGAATTTCGACTTTTCTTTTGAAGTCTGCGAACCAGAAATTCTAAGTAAGGAATTCTGTTAACCCGAGGGAAGGTGTTAGGCACCCCCGGATTCCGTGGTTCTAGCACGGTCGCTTAAACTATTACAATTGGCCTATTATTTTATTTTAATACATGTTTTAACCTATGGTATACTTTTAACTTGTTAGCCGCTTTTAAATTATTTTTAGGAGGATTCAACGTTATTTAAAACACGTCTTTGGACCATGCCATATGAAATGCACCCGCAATCCGAAACACATCTTATTCAACGTTGTTGAGATTTGGATTTGGGTCACATGAAATGCACACCCGAGTTTAGGAAGGTAATATTATTAAAATAGCGCGCCTAAAGCAACTACGCGTTTTTAACTTTGTGAGGGCCATGGAAATTTGTTAAATGACCCGCCTTGAATTCTAAGGATTTAAAAAGGAATAATTAAGTAAGGGCCACGTGTTTGAGATTTTATCTGGCGCGACGCACCTCAATTCCATTTTAAAAGGGTATTCAAACTAAAGTTTGGAGGATCATAGACTATTTGTGCTACTAATATGGCTCACCTTAATTGATTAGGGACCTAATTAGTTAAACGCTAAATGAATTCGGGGTTTTACTCAAAAAAACTAACTAAAAAGCTTGCATAAAAGAAAGGTTAATTATTTAAACAAAGGGTCTTGGCCTATCACAAACAATTGGCGAGAAGACAGGGTTCAATAAAGGCGGAATGGGTCCAAGTCCCATTCGTAGGCGCCTTCAGGTTTGGGCCCAAGAGCGAGCCCAATCTTCGGGACCCTGAAGTCAACGAATGCAGGACTCAACATCGAGTCCCCATAGCGCACAAGCAATGACTGAAGTCGCAGGGGATCAACGTAAATCCAAATGGCTATCAGTGGAACCAGTGTATATATACAATCAGCTTTTAAATCAACCTTTAATTACTCAATGGACAATTATAAGATCTTAGCAATGACATGATTTTGAAAACAATTGAAAGTCCAATTCTGAGAACTATACAGTATGCAATTTTAGCTTTCAAAGCCCCCAAGCTAACTCGAAGTAAGGGCATAAGAGTTTAAACCTCGACTAAATCTCATATTAACAGAACTTGTAGGATTGACATTAAACAACCATGATTTTAACACATCAGCCCAACCCCATAACAGTTAAACATCAGCAAACAATTCAACAGTGGCCTATACGTTACTGTAGATACAACCTTAAACATTTCTTTCACTTATAGCCACTTTCGAGCAAAACTGATAACTTAAACAGAAAAATCTGAACGTTTAAAGCTTCAATCTCATGCTATGATATCTTATTCATGATCAATATGCTAATTAGAACATTTTTAGGGCAAAATCTTACATCTATACATGAGATTAAATGGAGAAGAAATAAGGTTAAACAATAAATAAAATCAACTTTTCATATTTCCAAGTCCCAGCTTCATATTACAATTAAGTGATGTCCATAGTGCCGAAAATACCTGGAGATGAAAACAGGAAACAAAGAAATGAAGATTCAACAATAAGCAGCAGCAGTAACCCAATAAGAAACCAACAATGATACAGTGATATTCAGCAAACCACAAACCCAACCTCAAACTAGATTCAAACAATTTCTTAATCCCAGCATGATTATGAAATTCTTCATAAGTTCTAGCTAATAAAAGACTCAAGAATCCAAAACCAAAACAGAATTTTAATAGTTTTCAGCAATGGAATTCAGACTTTTTCAAAAAACTCAGCCGTTACAGTTTTTTGAGATTTTCAGTTTCTAAAAAATCTCCCCCTTGAGCCTGAAGAAAGGGTGCCTTTATAGGCAAGTCATTAAGGCAACCTAAAAGTATTCAATTTTTGCACCTTACCCCTTTTGGAATTTTCACTTTTGCTGTTTAATCCCTAGCTTAAAAATCAGTTTTTCAAATAAGTCCCAATCCCCAGCTTTTAGGAAGCTTCCTATTCAGTTAAAAGAGATTCCCTCACCTAGAATTCCTAGACTACCCCTTTAAGTCCTGTTAATTACCCCAGCCTACCTCATGGGTCAAGTTGACCCAATAGCTTAAACCCAATTGAGCGGGCTCCCCTTGAAAATGGGTTAGAAATGACCCCAAAGCCCAAAGCCAATAAGAAAATCCATTTGGTAATTCATGAAGAGCAGAAGAAGAGACCAATTAAATGATTTCAAAACCAAAATCTAAACTAAACGACTGATTTAAACCAAATAATGAGCTAGAATTAACTATATTACCAAGCCAACAACATCTAATTAAACTAATCATACGCCTAAAAATCAGAAGCTTAAAGCCATGAGTGACAATTAAGCATGACGAGTGAATAAAACAACGTTTAAAAGTTTAAAGGAAAACTGAAACACAGCCGGAACAAATATAGACATGGATCGATCCAAAAAAAAGAAGCCCAGGTTCAGAACCTTGGTCAATTTTCAGTCTACTCACGAAAATGAGAAGAAAGGAAGAGGAGTAAGTGGTGAAATAACAAAATGGACAGAAAAGATAAGAGAAAGGAGGACTTACCAACTCAAATAATCACTTCTGGATGCCCTGATTTAAACAAAATTGATACTAACCGCTTGTTCTTTGTCAAGAATAAGCAGACACATTAATTTTGCCTTGAATCAGATTTCAAAACTCGGAAAACTGGAAGCCTATGTCATGCATGCCACAGATTCAAGAGATTCTGATTTTGGTCTTTTAAATCTTCAACTTCGATTCAAGTTTCGACAAAAGTTAGGGTGATTCGAGGGAAAAGAGTGACAGATTTGGGACGAGGAAGGCTTGGGGGTTCTTTGGTGTTAGTTTGGGGTCAATTGGTGGTGGTGACGCCACCGGAGAAACTATGGTAGCGCTAGGANAGTATTCAGTGTTAATTTCATGGCGATTGGACGCCGGCCGCCGCCGTGGGCGATTTCCGGCAGGCGGCAGGTGGTGGCGTTACATGAGAGACTGAGAGATGAGTGAAGGGTAGGGGGGACGTTTTCGGACAATTTTATATGGGATAAGGCTCAGTTCCGGACTGTCCGATCAATTAAGATCGACGACCCTGATCAAGGGTAATTGAAACGACGTCGTTTGGATCGCTGAGGGGTTTGAACCGGGTAGGGGAACGGGTTTTGGTTGGGTTTCGGGTGCATTTGATTTGGGCTTGAGGAATTTGATGTATTTGGCCCAAAATTCCGATTCTTCTTATTCTTTTCCCTTTCTTTTTATTTCAAAAATCTTTTTCTTTTCAAAAATTAAAAATAAAATAGAAATTAATCCCTAAACTAAATTATTCTACCAAATTAAATTAATTAACTCCAAATAATAATTACCACAACTAATTAAATACTAAATTAAAAGAAAAACTACCAAAATTCGAAGCTCGAAAATTAAAAATGCAAAAATGAGTTACTTTTTGTGCTTTTTTCTATTTTTGTAAAACACTAATTTACTAATTAATCTAAAAATGTAAAACTAAATCCTAAATGCAAATACAATGTATTTTTGTATTTTATATGATTTGAACAAGATTAAACATGCACACAAAATGCAAACAAACAGAAAAATTCTACAGTAATTCCTAAAATAATAAATAATTAAAAGGAAAAATCTATTTTTTGGAATTCTGTAGGAGTAATTCATGCGAGGCAAAATCACGTGCTCACAACTGCTCCTCTTTGCTCGGAGACACGAAGGGTTTTCGAGCAAAGATAAAATGAGCAATCCCGAGGGATTTTTGCCCGTTTGACACTCCATGAGAAGCATTTTTTGAAAAGAATCTGACCGAACCTTGCTTCAAAGGTTTCCTACATATCCTTGGCTATAAAGGAATCAGGTCAGTGTAGTTCTGGAAGTTTTGTGAGGGACTACTGGGAGCTGTGATTTTACTGTTGCTGCTGCTACTGCTTGCTGACCCCCTTATTACACCAAACGGAAAATCAAAAGCTAAACTAGCTAAACCTATCAACTACGAGTTACAAGATTCCTATCTATATAAATCTCTTGAAGCATGATCTTGAGCCTTGGTTAGGTCTTGCTGCAGACTCCGATCTGAATCTTGATGCTCGTCAGCTGTAACCGCTTGTTCATTCTTCAGCTTTAGATCAAGGCGGGACCTGCGAGGCTTGTGACTTCAATCATATCTTGAACAGTCCGCATCCTTCTCAGTTTCAACCTTTGAGTTCATTTCTTTATTTTTGTTCTTTTTCTCCTTTTCTTTTGCTCTAGATTGAGACTCATTCTTTTGGTCACCTCGAATCCTGCGCCTCGAGGTCAAACCTGCTCAGACACCAAAACAGACAAATGAACGAAATTTTTCTT